GCCCGCCCCGCCGCGGCGCGTGCGCAGCCGCCGAGCTGCCCGGAGCTCCCGGCTCCACCGGGTCCACGCAGGGGCCGCGAGGGGCGGGCTTCTGCTCTGGGCTTCAACTGCAGAGCGTGCGGCTTGAAAGCGTTCTCTCGAGCTTGTCCGGCTAGAGCTGCTGGGTTTTGAGATTTGCAGGTTTTTCTCAGGGGGTGGTGGGCAATCACGTGCACCAGGGCCCCCATAAAATATAAAAGCAATAGATTCCGGGACTACCGCTCTGCTTTATTTTCGACTTGCTATTTTCTCTCTTCCTCTTGCTGCCGAAAGGCCACTGGTGGTCAACCGCATGGACCCAAGCAACCCATTGTCCCATAGCGAGCATCAAAAATATCCAGGTGTGGCGGAGGCTGCTTTTGTGTCGAGTTGTTGGCTGTTACTATTATTAGCTCTTGGGTTTGGACGAAAGCAAATGTTTAGTTCCCTTGGAGAGAGGGAGAGGGATGGTGTGCAGAGAAAGCCCCACTAGGTGGTTTTCGTCCTGTTCTTTACACCTGCTTCGGTGCACAGCACGTGAGAAACGTGGAAGCGTACTCTGTGCATCTAAATCAGCTTTCACTTCCTTTGGTCTCTGTCTCTGTCTTTTAAATGAATACTGTGGAATGAAGGAAAATCCAGATACTTGTTTTTGCATTTACCTTCAAGGGAGATTGTATTTATATATTTTTTTCACTTAGCTACACTGTCTATAGCTATATCACTGTGGGAATCTATTATTTTAAGAATAAGGTATGCACCCTGTCATGATTTAATAGATGTAAATTTATACTTATTTAATTAAGAGCCATGTGGATAGTTTATGTGAATAATACTTCAACGTTTTCCTCCTCTCTGTAGATGTTTAGTTTGCTCAGAATTTGCTGTCTTATTCTTGTGAGCATCTTGTTATGGTAGACATATTAATGTTCTTATTTTCATATAATTTAGATATCATGAGTACTTGGAATTTCCAATTTATCTATTTTGTGTTTCATTAAGACAAATACTCATTAATTCTTTTTAGTGACTCCTCTCCCCATTTTCTGTCAAAGAAAATAGTGACCCCGAAATGACAGATGGCGTTGCCACTTCCAATGCCAGTAAACCAATGGCTTTTTTGTGTCTTAATTATAAATCCATATATTATATAATCTTACCTAAGTTTATTCAGTTTTACCCTTTAAGGATATAAAACATGGCTATTAGCCTTATACCATGTTCTTATGTTTTATTAATTATGCTTGCTTTAAGATTGAGGTGCTCTGCTCTTTTCTTCTACTTTTCCCGTGGTCTGTTCAAGTTGAAGTTAAATAATTTAAAAATTATCAAATGTTTCTTGTTTAACCTCAGTAGTAATCTAGGAAATTAAATTGATATCTCTTTTTACCTACTAAACTTGCAAAGACCAAAAAGAAAGTTATTGGAGAATGTTTCATAACCTGGAAAAGTGTTCACAATTAATAGGTGAAAACAGTAGGTCACTACAGCAATATCGTTCCAATTTTATACAAATAAAAAAGGTATGTAATTGATACCGGCTCAACACAAGGTTGACATGAGAGAAGCCATATTGTAGAAAAGAAACCCTATTGTAACGTTGAATGACCTCTGACAAACTAACCCAGCTGGATATGCACCATCTGGGAGATCTAACTGCTCTGTAGATTTTATGACCTCTGCTTGGGCATGTGTCTCCCAGCTGCGATAAGATGATAACTTTGCTTTTTTGAGTTCCTTAAGAATGTGATGACTCCTGAACAGGGAGTCTGCTGATAGCCGTCATCAGTGAAAACTGAAGATCTGGTGTGGCACTCCCAGTCTGTAACACCAGAAGGTCAAGGTTCCTAACCCCCTCCCCAGTAACCCACTGGCCTATATAACTGCTGTAAGATTTTGTGCCCCCTTGAGATGGTTCTTTGAGACTTCCCCCTTGCTAGCAAGCTGTAATAAACTGCCCTTTCTTTTCCACCATCTTGCCCCTTGACAATTGGTTTTTGTCTCGCGGTGAGCAGATCGTGCCCTTTGTGCAGTAATATAAATATGTATAGAAAACTATATATATTCAAAGGACATACACCAAAATATTGATACTAACTATCTCTGACTAATGGCATTAAAGAGGATTTAAACTTTCTTTTTTTGGCTGTTATTTAAAAATTTTCCATGATGAATATACATATGATAAATATATATTTATAAATTATGATATTTAAGTATATAAATTATACATTTAAATAAAATACAAATATATTATTATAAATTATAAATATATATATTTTATAGTTAAAAAAATATAGAGAATAATGCCCCCTAAATGTTTACACAACTTTTTTTCTCCTAAGACAAACTTAAGCATCCTTTGGTAAATATTTTCTGTTTTCCGTGCACATGGGCCACATCCTCGTAAACACTATTTTGCAACTTGTGCTTTCTCCCGCAGCTAAGTGAGCAGCCCCTATTTTACATAAATTGGAAACAGAAGGTGGTAAATGAGCATGCCCAGATCAATGTGAAGAGCAGTATGGCTTAGTACTGTTTCCTACACCGCATCATTTTCCTAAACCTCATCAGTGGCAGCCTGTTGTCCCTAATCCGAGGGTGATGTGGAAAGGATTTTAGCAGCCGTAGTAATTTATCATCAATGCTGCAAACATGGATTTTGGTGGTTACATTATTTAGGAAAAATAGTAACAAATAGACTGAAGTATATAAATTGTTACATCTGGGAAATGTGAAGTCTGTAGAACTTTAAATTCCCCTCAGGAAGGTAGGGGGTCCTGTTTTTCTCCCAGGTCCAGGTAAAGGGCATGTCTGAGGCTAGTATCAGCATTCGAAAAAGGCTGCTAATGAGTGTGGATGAAGGCTGCTATGAGTGTGGATATTTCGAGGAATTGGCTCCCGCTGTGTAAGAAATGTTAGGAGGAAGTTTACCTGTTACATTTTATCCTTTAGTCATGCTAAGTTCTTTCCTGGCAGTGAGCGCAGTGGCTGTTTATTTATACCTCTCTCCTGTTTGCGTTTGGCTTTACTTTTTGTAGCCTTGCTTTTAGCAGACAAAAAAAAAAAAAAAAAAAAAAGGGTGGAACAGCTGCTCAGTTATTACTGTGTTTATGAATAAGAACCAATAGATTCAACTCAAGAGTAAATTGCCTACCAGGGATATGTCAGTTTCCCAGACTGTTGAGTTACACTCAGGGGTGGAGCAGCATTCAAGACAGTGTGTGGGTCAGCTTGTCCCCTCCACTCACGGACTGGCCCACCCCATTGCCAGGTCCCACATGTGGTTTGATGGTTGTGAATCTGCTGAACGAATGGTTTCTTGTAGTATTTACTCCAATTTAGAGAATATGCTTACAGAGGCTAGGGAAAGAGAAATGGTATAAGAAGATACTTGAGCAGTTCAGTTCAATTCAAGTCTCTGCCATCAGGGAGTTCAAACTTTAGCTGGAAGAGACAGAAAATTTCAATGAGTAAAACTTTTTAAAGACTGTATGATGGCTAATTTTATGTGTCAACTTTACTGGGCTAGGGGATGCCCAGATAGCTGGTAAAACATTATTTCTGGATGTGTCTGTGAGGGTGTTTCCAGAAGAGACTAGTGTTTGAATCAGACTATGTAAAGACGATCGCAGGAGGGCATTGTAGGGGAAGAGGGAGAATCCCCCTCTGCCCTTTCCCTTAAGGTTCTTATGGCTGGCCAAATAATTAACAAGACAGGTTAGCAGGAGAAAATAATACCAAGTTTAATAACATGTATACATGGGAGAAAGCAGGGACACTGTGTTTCTCAACACAATAGCAGAAATTCTCGTCTTAAATACCATCTTCAGCTAAAGACAAAGGAGGATATTGGGGGTGGGGGGAGTCAGTTACAGGAGATCACCACTAAAGCACAGTAAACAAGAGTAAGGTTATTATGCAGATTTAAGGCCTCACTTTCCACATCGATAAGTTTCTAGAAATGAGGTCATCCCCCCTCTTCCCAATACAGACAGGTAGATACCTTTACAAATGGAGATTTCCCTTATGAATGTAAATGTTTGTCTGGCAACTCCTCGCAGGGCCATCCAGAGAATGTGGCCAGAGACACAACTTCCGATAAGATGGGCTTGTTGGTGCCTTTTCTATTGTAACATGTATTTTACATTATATTACAGCCATCAGACAGAAGATCTGTTCCAGGAAGGAGTTACTATGTCAAATTCTTTAGGCAGTTAGTGCGGGAGGTCAAATGTCCGTCAGAGAAAACAATCAAGGTAAAGAGATGGATTTCAGGGTGGCCAAGTCTTGATCTCCCACAGCATTATCTGAAGGTCCAAGAACCAGGAGCGCTGATACCTGAGGGCAGGAGAAGATGGATGTCCCAGCTCGAGCAGAGAGCAAATTCCCCTTTCCTCTGCCTTTTAGTTCTATTTAGGCCCTCAGTGGTTTGGAATGTCCACCCATCTTGGTTTGTCAGAGGGTCAAGGGAATAGAAAATGACTCCTCATTAGTAGACTTCAGCTCAAATTGCTGCTATTCAGGGTTAAAGACCCACTGGGCCGTGCTGACCCCACATTGCTTGGATTTCAGAACAAATCTGTGGTTTGGCACTCATGATTTTTGCCTTCTCTGCTTTAGGCATCAAAAGCGTTTCACTAGCTTTCCCACCACTCATGGCAGAAAGGTGGCTGTTACCTTTCAGATAAAGAACAGCTGGGCCAGGACTCTTGGCCTAGATCTGATGCCCCTATAGTACAGTAAAAGATATTACACAGACACTAAGCTGTAATGTTAGAAGCATTTCCTTTCATATAAAGGAGGAATCTCTAGAACGTTGGAGACTGTGCTGGTTATCATTGCTGCACATCAGATCACCCCCAAACTTAGTGGCTTAAAATAGCAAGAATTGTATTATTGCTTCCAATTTCTGCAGGTCAGGAAGCCAGGAGCAGGCTCAACTGGCTGGTTCTGGCTTGAGGGTGTAGGGGAGGAAGAAAAATTCCTCTACCCTTCTAGGTTCTTCTGGCTGGTCTAAGAATTAAAGTGACATGAGAGAATAATAGGAGAAAATCAAACAAATTGAATAACATGTATACATGGGAGAAACCTAGGAAAACTGAGTAACTTGCCAAAATGGCCAAAGCCACCACCTTAAATACCATCTTCAGCTAAAGACAAAAGAGGATGTTGGGAGTGGTGGTTTGGAACTTCAAAGAGGAGGAAGGCAATTCACATGGAGATGGAAAAGCAAATGTTTGGTAAACAAATGTTTGCCGTGACTTACAGAGACAATGAGACATGGAGAGGACTTTGATCCAATGGGCCTTGCTAGGCTCCTCCCTGTCTACCACACCCAGTTCATATTATAGTTATCTGTGGTGATAGCTTCTTCCTGGAACAGGCCTTCTATCTTAAGTTATTTTAGGCAGTTAGGGGGAGGATCAAAGTTTCTTCATGAGTCTTTTGTTCTTAAAAATAATCAAGCCAAAGAGATACATTTTGGGGTAGCAAACTGTACTCCCCTACATTCCTGCCTTTGAAACATCAAGGTTTCATAGTCCAGAAGCTGACTTGGTAGATTGTTCCATCTCATTGAACCAGTCTCTGAGGCCTATCAATAGGTCAGTCTAGTTAAGTTCATTTTAGGAGGCAGCCGTGCAGGTGAGCTCCCCGAGTTAGGCCTATATTGTGTAAGCAAGCAATCAGGTATTTAATAAGAGGTATTTCTATGGAAACGAAAAGAAAAACAAAGTTAATGGTTGGAGCAAATTATAAACCAGTTTCTGAGACCAGGCCACAGCCAGTCAAGATTTCTAGATGTCAGGGTCGAAGCATCTTTTGCAGTTTGAAATGTCTCTGATGATATCGTTGAGTGTTCAGGTATCTTTCTAAGTGGCTTACACAGCAATGGGCATGAAGATTGCCTAAGTATGGGCTATCATGGTGATCTTTTTTAAGTTTATACAGAGTTGCCCAGCCTCAGTTTGCAGTTCTCAATGATTCCAGATCAAAAGGATGGAAAAAATCGAAAATGTTTAGTTTGGAGATTTGTAGCCAGACGTTTGAGGAAACTGGAAGAGTTTAGGATCCAGTCCAGTTTATGAGTAGGAAACAAAAACCTCAAAGACAATTAGCAGAACTAGAACCTAATATCCACACAGGTGTGCTACTGAAACACAATTTTTCTCTATATATCACCCTCACTTCTACCAAAGATAGCCAAATTAAGAGTAATTTGTTTGCAAAGTAGGTTTTCATAAACTTGGCCTATTTATTTACATAAGTACAAGAGTACTGATTGATCATACAGGGTCTTTTAAATCTGCTTTGCTGGAACTTATCATAAGGAATCTCAGATTGAATTTTTAAAGGCCTTTTGAGGCCAAGAAAGCCAAGCCAAGGACTTGTCATCACACTCTGCCTATAATGCCTATAGATTTGAGTGAATCAAGGTTCCCAAAATATCTTGAGGTTTTTGCACCTGCCAGGAAGTGACCTTCTTTACTCACCTGGTAAGTTTACTTGGAACACTGTAAGCAAGATACCAGGCTGATATTTCCAAGGGGCTTTATTTGTTCCGTAAAGTCAACCTTTGTTCCTTAAAGCTGTCTGGTCATGTCTGAGTCTATGCATGTCTCTCTCAAATATGACATTTTAGTCAAAGTCTTGGTAGTATAATCACTGTTTGCAATTGTGTCCTGTTACAAGGAGAACAGATTATTTTATTTTATTGAGGTCATATTGGCTTATAATATTGTGCAAATTTCAGGTGTACATTATTATATTTCAGTTTATCTATAGACTGCATTGTATTCACCACCAATAGTCTAGTTTTTATCTGTCCCCATACATATGTGTCCCTTTACCATTTTTGCCCTCCCCCTGCCACTTTCTCCTCTGGTAACCACTAATCTGTTCTCCTTATCTATGGGTTTTTTTGTTTATCTTCCACATATGAGTGAAATCATGCAATCTTTGTCTTTCTTTGTCTGACTTATTTCGCTTAGCATAATACCATCAAGCTCCATCCATGTTGTCGCAAATGGCACAATTTTGTCTTTTTTTATGGATGAGTAGTATTCCATTGTGCGTGTGTGTGTGTGTGTGCGTGCGTGTGTGTGTGTGTATATACACATCTTCTTTATCTATTCATCCACTGATTGGCACTTGGGTTGCTTCTGCATCTTGGCTATTGTGAATAATGCTTCAATGAACGTGGGGTGCATAAATCTTTTTGAATTATTAATTTCATGTTCTTTGGATAAATACCCAGTAGCGGAATAGCTGGATCATGTGGTATTTCTATTTTTAACTTTTTGAGAAATCTCCATGCTGTTTTCCGTAGTAGCTGCAGTGATTTGCATTCCCACCAGCAGTGTATGAGGGTTCCCTTTAAGGAGAACAGATTCTTATTGAACTTATGTAAATGACTATATTGCCATGAAAATAGGAATACATACTTAGTAAGAGTTTCCAAATTCTGGAGGGATCAGGTAGAGAGAAAAAGATAAATGTTTCAATTCTACTACAAAGGTATAATTTACCAAGTTTCTGTAAGTCATAGTTAGCTTAAGAGAAAACAGGAAAAGGTTTCCTTAAATCTGGAAGACCACAACATTAAAAAAAAAGCAGTATTTCAAATAAAAAGTCATAAAAATTATAATCATCTTCATCAGTTCATTCAGTCCCATGTAATCAATTCTTGATCTTGATCTTTTGTTAGCAGTTTTATGAAGCCATCAGTTTGTCTGTTAGAGTTCTAGAATTTCTTACCTAGTTCTGTTTTCTGATCTGAAGGTTTATTAGAAACCTGTATTCTAGAGTGTCAGAGTCCTTTCCATGAATCTCACTGAAGATGAAACATATTTGCAAAATCATCAGAGTAAAACAATGACTGTCTGTAAATGACAAAAGACTTAAAAT